ATCTTGTTGTTGTTGTTGTTGATCTGCAAGTTTACCCACTAACAGTTTAGCCCAGTTTACTGTGATCAATATATTTCTCATCCCATCAAAGTTTGCCATACTTAAATTTAAAACCTTGGTTTGGGACTCTGCCTTCTCCCCCTCAAATCCAATGTCAAATTCAATCATATTTTGATCACTATTTGCAAGATGTTCCCTTACTGTCAGATTGTTAAGTAGTTCTGGCTCATTACACATCACCAAATCCAGTGGCTTGTTCCCTTGTTGATTCTAAAACTTATTATTCCAAAAAACTGTCCTGAGTACATTATGGAAATGTGTTACCTTGATTACCCGAGGTATTCTGCTTCTCCCAGTCTATGTTAAAATTAAAATCTCCCATTATAACCACATGGCTTTTGCTACATGCTTCCCTGATCTCCGTATTTATAAATTTCCCCACTACATTACAACTCTCTGGAGGTCTGTAGACTACTCCCAACAGAATCTTATCTCCTTTGCTGTTCCTTAATTCTACCCAGAGTGTTTCCACGACCTGATCACCGTTACTGAAATATTTTGTTTCCACTGCTGTAATAGTGTTTTTTATCATTATTGCTATTCCTCCTTTCCCAATGTCCCTGTCTTTCCTAAAGGTCTTATAGCCTGGAATATTTAGCTCCTAGTCCTGCCCAGATTGTAACCAGGTCCCCTTAATGGCTGCTACATCATACCCTTTAAGCTGAATTTGTATTTCTAACTCACTTGTTTTATTTCTTATGCTATTGTGCATTTTTATACATAAACTTTATTTGTGTAACTGTCCCCAACATGTCTATATGCCCTGACAATGTATCAAAACCAATGATATTGCCAAAAAAAACAAGTAAAGCCTGGACCAAAACAGGATCTGATTTGTTTTATTATAATAGCAAAAACTATTTCATGATAATAGACCATATATCGAGATATAGTGAGTATACAGAGTTGAATGGCACAACATTGGAAACTATAGTGGAAAAAAACAAGGAAATCTTTGCCCGGCATGGCATACCAAAGGCGATAATTAGTGACAATGCGCCCCAATTTTCAAACAAGGAATACAAGACATTCACAAGACAGTGGGAAATAAACCCCAAAACAACTTCACCAGGGTATCCACAAAGCAATGGTCTGGTGGAACGGGAAATACAGACTATAAAGAAAATGTGGAAGAAAACAGACAACCCAAAGGCGGATAAGCACCTGCAATTCTGGCCTCCAGAAACACACCGAGAGACAATGAGGGACATCCACCAGCACAAATACTGATGTCAAGACGGTTAAGAGATTTGGTAATACAAGAAGAGAAAAAATTGAGACCATAGGTACAACACAATAGAAATGGAGGGAAACCACAAAGTGAACCAGGAAAGAAGAAAACTTTTACAAGAGGAGAGAGAATCTGGTTCAGGAAGAAAAACCTAAAAACAGAAGGTTGGACAGAAGGAGAAATTTGGAAGATAAAAACCCAAGATCATATTGGCCTAAAAGTGATAAAGGAAAAATGTATCGAAGAACATCATGGGAAATACACCAAAGAAGGAAGAGGAAGAAAAAGAAGAGCAAAAGGAAGATCTGAGGGTGCCAGAAACATCGAGAACCACCAGGTCAGGAAGAGCAGTAAAAACAACACAGAGATTAATTGAATAAGACGGACACACAAGGAAAAAAATAAGAAACCAAAAAGGGGAAGATGTTGGATGCTGATTAATAAATACGGACCAATTGACTAGGACCAATGGAAGGAGATCAGGAGGGAGAGGAAGCAGGAAGCAGAGAGAACTGAGTAGAGAGTGTTTTAGTATGACTGTTGGATTGTGTGGATTGGTCTCCACCAAAAATAAAAGTGTTCTACACATTGTTTATTGAGAACATGATAGCGACTGTTGATGATGTTGTACTGCAGTTTCCAATATTGCCACCTGCAGGAAGCAAAGGTCTTGTGGAGGACAAGTTTGCAGGGGTGTGGGGAGAGCGCGGGGGAATGGGATTGATTTAGAAACTCTTTTCAAAGAGCCAGCACAGATATGATGTGCTGTATAATTCTATGATCTTATTAGAAACATTGTTTTTATTTGGAGCCAAGACTGAATTATGTCTTCAGGAAAAGAAAAACAACAAGAACCATATTGCAATGTAATCAATATGCCAATTACAATGTCAGCCAGGGCTCTCCGAAAAAAAATACACAGACAGATTTGTGCTTCTGAACGTGAAGATCAAGTTGCCTGCAAAGTAATATAGTAATATATAATCCTTGTATTTGATATAGCACCTTATCATGTCTTTGAGACATCTTAAAGCACTTCACAACATATACTGTAAAGTGTAGTGACTGCATATTTTGTGGGCGAAACGTGGCAGCCAAATGTGCAAAATACACCAAACAGACAGTAACCATCCAGCTCCCAGCAGAAAGAGAGGAATACCTAGCAATGCCCTCTGAATAACCTGTCTTTTATCTTTTCCATCTATCATGTTTAAAATACCTGAACTAAGCAAAATAAGGCTTGTAACATTGCTTGGTTTGTAGAACTCTTGAGCTCATGGCAAAACGTTGCTTCAGTTGCCAATTGTATGTGCATCTCAATACCAAACAGTATACACAGTGCTATAAGAAACTTTGAAGTAATATCATGTCCATAACAGTTCAAAGCTATTCACAAAGTTTCTGTAAAAAATCAGTGACTGCGTATTTGTAGGCAAATTCAGCAGCCAATTTGTAGTGAGAAATATCCCCACAAGCAGCTATGAACTTAATGACCATTTTATCTGAAGATTGTTGATCACGACACGGGGAGAAACTCTCTTTCAATCAGCGTCTTAGGATCTTTAATGTCCATCTGTGGCGGTGGTGACGTCATGACCAGGGGAGGTCTGCCCCTTTAAATAGGTTCTGTAAGGGTTAGCAAGCAGTCTAGATGAGATTACAACAATGTATAGATCAGGGTTTAGCACATTTGGGGTTTTACTAATGAGGTGTTGTTCTGAGAGTTGTTATAGATGTGTTGGATTGTAGTGTTTGCTCCCGTTGTGTGTCTTGAATTTTTGTGTTCTTTATATGCAAGGAGGCCTAGGGTTGCTTGGTTATAATAAAGAAGGGGCAAGAGCCAGCATTGTAAGTGTTATAACTCAGACTTAATTTCATGCTTTAGGGTATCGTGAAATATACACTTGTGCATTTAAGTTAGTTAGTTGATATAACCGGGTGACTGGTTTGGTCCTCCTGACTCGAGAAGCCCTGACTCTAATCATTGAAGCGTTGGGTAACAACTACCAAGCTCTGTGACACACCTAAACAGGCAGGTGGGACCTCAGTTTGAATATCTCATCAGAGAGATAGCACCTCGTACAATGCAGCACTCCTCCCAACACTCTGGAGTGTCAACATGCAGTTGTGAAACTTTCAGTCTGGTTTAGATACATGGTGATAGTCTACATGTGTCAATGATACACGTGGGAACCCCAGAGACGGATTGTTGGAATTGAATGCATTCTCTCTCTCTCCCTGAAGGGGCACATCCTACTTATCCAATTCCAGGAAGTATTAGGCACAGGTTGGCAAAAGCCAAGGCTTGGGGAGCCCAGAGTGTGTGTTGGGGTAACTGTTAGAGTCTAAACAGCTAAAACCACACAGCTTGCCATTGAGAGCACTGTCTGGCTAGCTTTCCTGTTAGGGCTTTGGCCTCAGGGTTAACAGGAGCTGAGGGGGAGGATTCCCTGCCTCCAGTGACTGGTCGCCCTTCCAGGTCTTGCCAATGAGCCTGGCCGGGCTGTGCTATCATCAGCAGTGCTCTCGAATACTGCGGATCTGCCTAGCCCAGGAACCAAACTAGAGATTGGCACAGAAGGCTGGCTCGATTCTGACATTCCATTGCCAAACATGTCACCTAGGAGCCAGTTCAGCTCCAAGGAAACCCTGCTTACCTCTCCTCTAAGGAGGATAGTCACCACAATAGTCTGTGGTGTGTGTAGATATATGTGTGTGTGTGTGTCTGCGTTTGATTTTTAAAGCTTTATTTTGCTTGCCTTTTCTCTTTAGCTCTCACTAATCTTCTAGTATATGTAAGATGGATTTATCAGTAATTGATTCAACGACTGCCAGGATTTAGTGAGATTTACAATGAGTAAACCATTACGTCACAGTAGCTTCTCACACTGAGGGGTGACCTCTGTGACCCAAATATTCATATGAAATTTAGGAAGAAAATTGTCAGCATACTGAGAGTCAGGAGGGGGGGAAAGTGCAGCACCTGGCGAGAGCTTGTTTTTGTTTCTTATAATGTCAAAGTGTGGAAGTAAGGAGCAGAGAAGTGGCCACTCTCTCTTTTGTGCTCTCTCACTTGATTGCATTCCCTTTCCCTCACTTTTTCCTTCTCTCACTGTCTCACACTCTCACTCGTCCTTTCTCATCCTATCTTGCTGTCTCACTCTCTCTTGCTCAGATCCATTTTGTGTTTGCAATCTGACCCTTGTACTCTCCATTGTTATATAGAAGACGTAGGATTGGTGTGGATAGCCCTACTGAGAGCCGAGATTTACAAAACAACGAATGAGAGGAATGAAAGCGGAAACATGAGAGTGTGGGAGCGAATCCTTTAATGCCACCCGATATTTTACTGTTTATGTACCACGGTCTGGGAAATAAACTGCACATAAGTTCGCTTCCCAGGCACACAGAGAGAAGTGGTGATGTTCATCCTGTTTAACGTCACGCCACCATCGAGCCTACAATCCCAGGAGTTGACACCTGCTCAGGCTACATGTTGCACTTCTCCTAAGCCCGGTGTCTTCTAACAGGAAGCAGCAATGAACTGAGCCTCAGTCTGTGCAGAAAAAAAACAGCGGTGATTGAGCCTGGGCTACGCTGACGATCCATACAGATAGCTCTATGGGGTTAAGCGCAGTATTAGTGGGTAGCACCTCAACAGCTGCTGCTGTCAGCAACTTGCAAGTTGTCCCGTCTTCCCTTACCCTGCCTGGCGCCTGCTACACAGTCAGATTGCACTTTAAAATCAATGAACTTTACAGCACATTAGGCCATCCCAGAATACCTGTTAATGACTCTCTAAACACTCCACATTTAGTCCCAATGCCCTGCCCTATCTCCATATCCTTTTTCAAATATTTGTCGAATTTGCTTTTAAAAGCTAGTATCCATTCTGCTTCCGCCACATTCGGGTTGTGTTAAGAGTGTCACAGTCACACCTCTGGCGTGCTCACTTTCCTGCTTTTGGAACCGTAGAAACCTAGGACACAGTAGGAGGCCATTTAATCAATTCTATTTGTGTTAGCGTTTGATCTTCTAATGATTCCCAATTCCCTGTTCTTTCCCCCAGTCCTTCTAATATCCCCCATACCCACATCCCAATCCAAATCTCTTTTGAGGCTAAATTGTTCTTCTACAATAATTATGGAGGCAATATTCCAATGTTATAAGATAACCATGAATTGAGCAGGTGTCGTATCGAGAAACGTTTGTTATATTAAGGAATTTATCCACGTGCAACCAGAGATGACTCCCAGTGACTGAGGGAAAACAAACATTTCTGGCATAATTTATGTTAATCAATGTATTAGCTGGAAGTGTGTGTGAGGAGATACAGGCTTAGAGCTATCATTCCTCACATTTACTGCCTGGGTTCACAAGTGAATCCTTGGGCTAATGTACCAAAAAGAACCCCTAGAACCACCTCCTGTACAAGGAAACAGGACTAAACCACCTTCAGATCAGGAGAGAAAATTGTCCAAAAAAAAACTCAAGTCATCATTACATTTGCCAGAGCTAACTCACCTGTTCACTAACTTTGTATAATTGAGCACTGCATATCTACGAGGATAATCTGAAAAGCAAAAGCCCACTTTAGGTCACAGTCAGGCAAATCACACTAAGAGTTAATATGTGCATCAGAAATGTATTAACAGTTAAAGTGTGTAACAGCAACAACAAATGACATATGTATAGCACCTTTCATGTTGGAGGATGTAACAGCATGTGGAGCAATAGCAAATGCGTCATCACATGTAATATCAGAGTTTATGTGCATGAACTAATCACTAACTGTGCCCTTTGTGAATCAGAAGCTCGTGAAATCAAGCCTAATCAAGATTTTAAGATGAAGATCAAGATTTCACCAATCTAGGCTGGCGCACACTGGGGGAGGTGCCGGCCTCCAGATGAAACATTAAACCCGGGCCCTGTCTGCCCCATGGGATTATTGGAAAAGAATGTTTCTCCCAGCAATGCCCCAGATAACATTGGTCTTTCACTTCATGACTGTTAATGGGACATTGCTGAGTGCAAATTCGCTACCACGTTTGCCTACAAATACAGTCACTACACTTTACAGTAAAAACCTGTGATGCACTTTGTAGTCTCAACTACATGATAAGGCATTATATCAAATGGAAGGATTATTTTTATTTAAGACCTCCACACTGCTCTGCATCAAACAGCTTGCCTTTCTGATTACAACAAATGATTGAACACAATAAACCTCTTTTAGGGACAGGAAAAATCAGCCATGATACTGAACATTGCCCAGGCCCTGTCCGACTGGACAGGATCAGGGTTCAGCTGTGATGCTCTCATACTGGAATACTCTGTGGACACTCAGTAACAAGGTTGATTAATGGTCACTTTGGCAAAGTACAGGGGGTACCTACGATTCTATACCCCGTGCAAGCAAAAAGGAGTCAAATGCTTTTAGGAGAAAAGTGATGACAAGGTTAAACCAGCCTCAGCTACACATCAGTGTGGGGTGAAGGTATGAAGTGAGACTACGATGCAAGTGTCCATGTTGAGGCTGTCACGTTTACCTTAGCTTCTCTCCAAAGTCCAGCCCTTAAGGAGTTCATTGTGACAGAAAATAAATTACCTCTTTGATCCCCTGCAAAACAAAGTGTAAATTGAAAGTAAAACATCAAATTATAGCATCAAATTCAGGCGGCCTGATAATAGGGTAAAAAGGAACCTGTCACAGAACTCTCTCTTCCCCACATGGGACCAGGGAGAGCACGGGTGCGTGTTTCAGATTTTATTGGATTTAACTCAAATTTGGGATCTTTTAATGGAAAGAGTTAATTATTGGGCTTACAGTTTCATTCAAAAAATACTGTCCAAGAAAAAACAGAGCAACTTATTAACTCTGGGAAGATGCTACACCGTAAAGTCCATATTAAATGAACTGTTTGTGTGTGCGTCTGTGTGTGTGTGTGTGTATCTGGATATCTCAGCAATTCAACATTTTATATATTCTCTACATTAATCTGCACAAACTGATGACAGCTGTAACATTTCATATACTACACATCCAACTCTGAAGTTTTAGATTGACAAGACATAATAAGGAACCAATTTCACAGTTTCCATCTACAAGAATATTTTAAATAAATATCAAAACTTGTAGCTCTGCTATCTATATCTTTATTTTATGAAATGCAAACATAATCAAATTAAGAAATTTCAGAATGAAGATGTCACCAAGTCATGCCCACATGACATTTTGCCCTTTGTGCATTATAATGTTAGCTGGACACAATGATAGAAGAATGTTTACAATTACTCGCTAGATGGCATGTAGGATTTTTTTGAGTTCATATAACTAATATTTTCCTGTCCAATATCTATTATACGAATGATAATCTGAATAAATTAAGCTGTGGCAAGTTGTGTGTTTAATAAATTGAGATTGTTTAGTTGTTAGTTGGACAAGAAAATGTTAGTTACGTGAACTGAAAAAAATCCTAGAAAATAATATCTCAGGATACATTATATAGTTTAGCGACTGCCAGGATGGTGGAAGGCAAACTAGATCGACCTCAGCCTGTTTTCGCCAGCAAATTCTTCTGTTTTTATGTTCTTATGTTACCAGGATGTTGGCAAATAGGATATTTGAGATGTTTCTCTAGTTTGATGCTGATATTCATGGTGATCTGTAAGTTTATCAGCAGGAGATGGAGTTGGCAAATTGAATTCCCAGCTTTAACTATGCTGGCCAAGAAAAATCTGTGTGTGGGGGGGGTCTAGGGTTTCCGTTGTGGAGGGGTGGGTAAGGTGCCTGCTGTGGGAGAGGTAAGGTGCCCGCTGTGGGATGCGGGGCAGGGGGGTAAGATGCCTGCTGTGGGGGGTTTACATCAGTGAGACATCACAAAGAGCTTCACAGAATATACTGTAAAGTGTAGTGACTGTATATAGTGTGGGTGAAACACGCAATTCCCAATTGCGCACAGTGATGTTCCACAAACAGTTGTGGATTGAGTGACCAATTTTATTTAAGGGATTATTACCCAGGAAAAGTGATCCGCCAGTCGACTAACAATTGGGTTCTTACTAACTGCTCAGTAAACAGAGGCGTATGTAGTAAGGAAACTTGCCCATGGCTTCCCCAAGCCTAGGAATCAAACCCAGGTCTCTCACTTGCGAGGCGAGTGTCTCACCCCTGAGCTACAGGACTACACAAGCCAAAGCACAAGTCCATTACCTTCCTGGTGACACGGCAGGGGTCTGCTTCTGCACATCGCCCATCGAGGCGCCATTAACTTGTTCTGAGAACCTGTTAGAGAATCAGTCTTCAGAATCTTGTCTCACAAAAACATGCAGCCACACCCCCTCACACACTTTCCCCCCACACCATACTCCACCCCCACACTCTCCCCCCACACCATACTCCAACCAACCCCCCCACACTCTCCCCACACACCATACTCCCCCCCACACTCTCCCCCCACACCATACTCGCCCCCCCCCCCCCCACTCCCACCCCCACCACCCCCAGTTCATCCACAGAACACAGACAGGCCATCAAATTGAATGGTGGGCAGACAGACAGACAGACTGACTGACAACAACAACAACAAAATGACATTTATAAAGCGCCTTTCACGTCGGGAGGACGTCCCAAAACGCTAAACAGTCAGGTGTCGGGGTCCGAGCATGGGGGAGGGAAGTAGGGGGGAGGGGGGAGGGAAGGCAGAGAGGTGGGACGGAGACCAAAGGCACGGTCGAAGAGAAGATGGGGTGACTTACGTTGGTTGAACCTTGTTGCAGAATCTACGCCGCAGGATAATTGCCAGAGTGCTGATGACCATGATAGTGGTGCACATGATGCCACCCCATTACCAACCAAATCACAACTAAAATTTGCAACTCATAGCAGCAGCTACAAAGCCAACGATTGCCTGACCCTCCAGCGACCAGCGGCACCAGGGAAAGCACAGGCTTATTTTTGTCAAGCTTAGCGATCCAATAAGACCGATTAAGATAAGATGTAATGAAGGACAGAGGGTTATACATCTGCCAAGGCCCTGAGTCAATAATTATTACACAACAGGGAAGAAATGAGTGGAGGATACAGAGATTGGGGATGGTGCAGTGTTAATTCACCTCCAAGGTACAAATTTCAAACAGAAACTTTATAATAATAATAATAATAATAATCCTTTTACGTCTTCTCGACGTCTCAAAGTGCTTCACAGAATATGCTGTGAGGTGAATTGACTATGTTTGTGGGCAAAACGCAGCAGCCAATTGCGCACAACAGGGTCTGTCCCACAAACAGTCGTGGATTGAAAATGACCAATTTATTATTGTTTTGTTATAGAAATCAGATTGACACAAAGGGTTACAAAGCATCGGTTTAAAGATGGGATTCAGAATAATCTGTGGGATCTAATGAGTTACCAGAGAACTGACAACTCGGCTAAGTTAGCTGAGACCTCTGAGATTTTGTGTGAAACAGAACTGCTTTTACGTCTGTGCTGTTTGGCTGGAATTTTTACAGAGACGTCTCCCCGCCTGCCCCACAGCACACAGGGTCTCAACAATCTCATCACTTTACAGTATATTCGGTGAAGCGCTTTGGGACATCTCGAAAACGTGAAAAGCGCTATATCAAATGCGAAGATTATTATTATTATTATTATTATTATTATTATTATCACAGAAAAGGTCTCAAAATGCTTCATTGGTAATTACCATTAAATGTCCTCGCTCTATTTGCAGCCAAAGGTGGCAGCCGTTTGCATAGTAAGATGTCATAAACAGCCATGGAATCATAGAATTATACAGCACGGAACGAGGCCATTCGGCCCATCGTGTCTCTCGGCTCTTTGAAAAGAGCTTCCCATTCATCCCCACTCCCCCGCTCTCTCCCCATAGCCCTGATCAACCTACTCCGCACTCTCCCCATAGCACTGATCAACCCCACTCCCACCTCTCTCTCCCCATAGCCCTGATCAACCCCACTCCCCCCGCGCTCTCCCCGTAGCCCAAATCAAACCCACTCCACCGCTCTCTCCCCATGGCCCTGATCAACCCCACTCCCATTCTCTCTACCCATAGCCCTAATCAACCTGACTCACCCGCTCTCTCGCCATAGCCCTGATCAACACCACTCCCATTCTCTCTCCCCATAGCCCTGATCAACCCCACTCCCCCCGCTCTCTCCTAATAGCCATAATTAAACCCACTCTCCCGCTCTCTCCCCATAACACTGATCAACACCACTCCCCGCGCTCTCCCCATAGCCATGACCAAGCACACTCCCCCCGCTCTCTCCCCATAGCCCTGATCAACAACACTCCCCCCACACTCTCCCCATTGCCCTGACCCACACCACTCCCCGGTTTCTCCCCATAACCCTTATCAACCTGACTCCCCCGCTCTATCCCCTTAGCCCTGATCAATCGCACTCCCCGCGCTCGCTCCCCATAGCCCTGATCAACCCCACTCCCACGCACTCTCCCCATAAACCTGATCAACCCCACTCCCCCGCTCTCTCCCCATAGCCCGAATCAACCCCACTCACATTCTCTCACCATAGCCCTGATCAAACCCACTCCCACGCTCTCTCCCCATAGCCCTGATCAATCCCACTCCCACGCGCGCTCCCCATAGCCCTGATCAACCCCACTCCCCCACTCTCTACCCATAGCCGTGATCAACCCCACAGCCCCCCTCTCTCCCCATAGCCCTGATCAACCCTACACCCCCGCTCTCTCCCCATAGCCCTGACCAATCCCACTCCCCCGCTCCCTCCCCATAGCCCTGATCAACCTACTCCGCGCTCTCCCCATATCCCTGATCAAACCCACTCCCCCGCTCTCTCCCCATAGCCGTGATCAACCGCACTCCTGGCTCTCTCCCCATAGCCCTGATCAACCCCACAGCCCCCCTCTCTCCCCATAGCCCTGATCAACCCTACACGCCCGCTCTCTCCCCATAGCCCTGATCAACCGCACTCCCCTCACTGTCTCCCCATAGACCGAATCAACCCCATTCCCCTACTCTCTCCCCATAGCCCTGATCAACCCCAATCCCCCGCTCTCTCCCCATAGCCCTGATCAACCCCACTCCCCTACTCTCTCCCCATAGCCCTGATCAACCCCACTCCCCCACTCTCTCCCCAAAGCCCTGATCAACCCCACTCACCCCATTCTCTCCCCATAGACCGAATCAACCCCACGCCCCCGCTCTCTCCCCAGAGCCCTGATCAATCCCACTCCCCCGTTCTCTCCCCATAGCCCTGATCAACCTACTCCGCGCTCTCCCCATAGCCCTGATCAACCCCACTCCCCCGCTCTCTCTCCATAGCCCCGATCAACCCCAGTCCCCCGCTCTCTCCCCATAGCCCTGATCAACCCCAGTACCAACTCTCTCTCCCCATAGCCCTGATCAACCCCAGTCCCACCTCTCTCTCCCCATAGCCCTGATCAACCCCACTCGCACCTCTCTCTCTCCATAGCCCTGATCAACCCCACTCCCCTGCGCTCTCCCCATAGCCCTGATCAACCCCTCTCCCCACTCTCTCCCCATAGCCTGAATCAACCCCACTCCCCCGCTCTCTCTCCAAAGCCCTGATCAACCCCACTCACACCATTCTCTCCCCATAGACCGAATCAACCCCACGCCACCGCTCTCGCCCCATAGCCCTGATCAACCCCACTTCTCCGCTCTCTCCCCAAAGCCCTGATCAACCCCACTCCCCCGTTCTCTCCCCATAGCCCTGACCAAGCGCACTCCCCCCGCTCTCTCCCCATAGCCCGAATCAACCCCACTCCCCCGCGCTCTCCCCATAGCCCTGATCAACACCACTCCCCGGCTCTCTCCTCATAGCCCGAATCAACCCCACTCACCCGCTCGCTCCCCATAGCCCTAATTAACCCCACACCCCTGCGCTTTCCCCATAGCCCTGATCAACACCACTCCCCGGTTTCTCACCATAGCCCTAATCAACCCAACTCCCCCGCTCTCTCCCCATAAACCTGATCAACCCCACTCCCCCGCTCTCTCCCCATAAACCTGATCAACCCCACACACCCACTTTCTCCCCATAGCCCTGATCAACCCCACTCCCCCGCTCTCTCCCCATAGCCCGAATCAACCCCACTCACACGTTCTCTCCCCATAGCCCTGATCAAGCGCACTCCCCCCGCTCCCTCCCCATAGCCCTAATTAACCCCACTCCCCCGCGCTCTCCCCATAGCCCTAATTAACCCCACACCCCCGCGCTCTCCCCATAGCCCTGATCAACACCACTCCCCTGCTCTCTCCCCATAACCCTGATCAACCCCTCTCCCCCGTTGTCTCCCCATAGCCCTGATCAACCCCACACCCCCGCTCTCTCCCCATAGCGCTGATCAACCCGACTCCTCCGCTTTATCCCCATAGCCCTGATCAATCCCACTCACACGCGCTCTCCCCATAGCCCTGATAAACCCCACTCCCCCCACTCTCTCTCCATTGCCCTGATCAACCCCATTCCCCCGCTCTCTCCCCATAGCCCTGTTCAAACCCCACTCCCCGCGCTCTCTCCCCATAGCCCTGATCAACCCCACTCCACCAGCCTTTCAGACAATGCATTCCAGATCCCAACAACTCACTGTGAAACCATTTCTCCTCCCCTCGCCTCTGTTTCTTTTAACAACTATTTTAAATCGGTGTCCTCTGGTTACTGACCCACCCTCCAGTGGGAATGGTTTCTCCTTGTTCCCCCTATCGAATCCCCTCATCATTTTGAAAACTTCTGTTAAGTCTCCTCTTAACCTTCTCTGCTCCCAGGAGAATAATCCTCGCTTCTCTCGCCTCCCTGATAACTGAGGTCCCTCATTCCTGGTACCATCCTGGTCAATCTCCATTGCACCCTCTCCAATGCCTTGAGATCCTTCATAAAGTGTGGGGTCCAGAACTGAGCACAGTCTCTCGCTGAGGTCTAACCAGTGTTTTATCTAAAGGTTCATCATAACCTCCTGATTTGTGTATTCTATGCCCTATTTATAAAGCCCTGTGTCCCGGATGCTTTTTTAACAGCTCTATCTGCCTGTCCGGCCACCTTCAAACATTTACTATATGACCCCCAGGTCTCTCTGTCCCTTCACCCCCTGTAAGATTGTCCCATCAGCGTATATTGCCTCTCCTCATTCTTCCTCTCAAAATGCATCACTTTGCATTTCTCCACATTAAACTTCATCTGCCGCGTGTCGGCCCACGTTACCAGTCTGACTGTGTCCTCTTACAGTCTATTACTGTCCTCCTCACTGTTTACTAGTTTTCCTAACTTAGTGTCATCTGCAAACTTGGAAATTGTCCTCCCTATACCCAAGTCCAGGTCATTTATATAGATCACAAACAACAGTGGTCCCAATACCGACCCCGGGGGGACACCACCGCACTTCCCTCCAGTTAGAAAAACAACTGTTCACCACTCTCTGCTTTCTGCCTCCCTGACAGTTCTGTATCCGCTGCTACTGTCCCTTTAATACCGGGGGCTTCCATTTTGCTACAAGTCTCTTATGTGGCACTTTATCAAACGCTTTTGAAAATCCATATAAACTACATCAATGCACGACCTTCACCCACCCTCTCCGTTACTTCATCAAAAAACTATCAGGTTTGTTAGACACAATTTGCCTTTAACAAATCCATGTTGTCTGTCCTTTATTAACCCATATTTTTCTAAGTGAAAATTAATTTTGCCCCGGATTATAATCTTCAGAAGTTTCCCCGTTACTGACGTTAGGCTGACTGGCCTGTAGCTCCCGGGTTTATCCTTCTGCCCCTTTTTGTACAGGGGAGCAACGTTTGCAACCCTCCAGTCCTCTGGCACCAACCCCGGTGTCCAAGGAGGATTGAAAGATTGTGGTCAGAGTCTCCGTTATTTCCACCCTTAATTCCCTCAGTAACCTAGGATGCATCCCGGACCGGGTGACTTACCTACCTTGAGCACCGTCAACCTTTTTAGTGCCTCCTCTAAGTTTATTCTTATCTTATCCAGTTTCTCTACCCTCTTCTCCGATACTGTGGCATTGGCTGCATCCTCTTCTTTTGTGAAGACAGATGCAAAGTACTGCATCAGTACGTCAGCCGTGCCCTCTGCCTCCACAAGAAGATTTCCTCATTGGTCCCTACTTGGTCCCACCCTACCTTTGACTAACCTTTTATTCTTTATATGCTTATAAAATACCTTAGGGTTCCCTTTTATGTTACCCACTAATCTTTTTGCCCCTCTTATTTCCTTTTACAGTTCTCCTTTGTACTTTCTATATTCTGTTTGATTATCTTCTGCATTTTGGACCTGACATTTGTCATAAACCTCCTTTTTCTGTTTTATTTTAATCCCAATTTCCTTATTCACCCAGAGAGGTTTGGATGCCCTCCTTTCCCCTTTGTGGGAATGTATTTATTCTGTCCCCGAACTATCTCCTCCTTGAAGGCTTCCCATCGCTCACTCGCTGTTTTATCTGCCAATCTTTCTTTCCAGTCCACCTTGGCTAGGTCCCTCATTGAACTCATTGAAATTAGCCTTTTCCAGTTGAGTATCTTTACCTTTGTCCCTTTCCATTAGTACTGTAAAGCTAATGATGTTGTGATCACTGTTGTCCAGATGCTCTCCTTCTGAAACCTGCCCCACTTCATTCCCCAGAACTAGATCCAGCTCTGCTTCCTTCCTGGTGGGGCTGGAAACAAACTGATCCAGAAAGTTATCCTGCACACAATTCAGGAATCCTTCCCCCTCCTTGCCCTCTACACTGTTATTTCGCCAGTCTATGTTAGAATAATTAGAGTCCTCCATTATCACTACTCTGTTGGTTTTGCATCTTTCTGAAATCGCTTGCAGATTTGCTCATCTATCTCCTTCCCACTATTTGGTGATCTATAGTACACACCGAACAGAGTAACAGCTTATTTTTTGCTCCTTAACTCTAACCAAATAGATTCTGTTTGTGGGGCCTCTAACACAGCATCCCTTTCCAGTGTCTTTAACCAATATTGCCACCACCCCCCGACCTACTTGTTTCCTTCCCTATCCCTCCTGAAAAAATTGTAGCCAGGAATATTCAGCTCCCATTCCTGCCCTTGTTTGAGCCAGGTCTCTGTTATTGCCATAACCCCATGTGGCAACTTGAGCCGCAGCTCACCAATCATATTTGTCATACTCTGGGCATTTACCCACATGCACTCCAAGACTGACTGAGTCTGTTCTGCATTTCTCCCCTGAATGACCGGTTAATCTGCAGGATTGTTGACCAGGAGGATTTCACAATGAAACAGCAGCAGTTAACAATGTTTCTATGGTAAGTAAAATTGTGTGTTATATTTATGATTTTTGCTAAAAGTGTCTTAATCTGAAGCACAGTATTCCACTCTACTATTGCTTTGAAGGTGAGATGTTCTGTGTATACAAGTACAAATTCCTGTTTCGATTGTTGTACAAAACATTATAGATTATATTCATTTCACATTGTAATTGCCTCTCCTGTAGTTCGTGTTACACTTAATGCCAGTATTAGGCTTAATGTAGAAAAAACAAAAGGCGTTTTGCAAGTATCAATGTTCCATTCCAAGAATAGCAATGTTTATACAACTCGGTTAGTGACCTCCCAGGAGATATAAATGTTTAGAGTAATGTGCGACTTAGCCACTGGGGAACTGGTTTCTCTGATGTTTCTTTGTGATGGAAGGTCTTGGGAGCTGTTGGTGTGATTCTGTGGAGGAGCAGCAACAGCCTCTCACCCACTGTCTGCACCTACACCCCTACCCTCGACTACACACATCCTGGCTCGACTCACACCCACTGCCTGTCCTCCTGATGTGAAAGGTGCTATACAAGTGTAATCTGTTGTTGTACTTGCCCACTCTACTTAATTTTCACATACACCTCAGGTGCACGTTGTTGTGATGAATCTGTTGGGAGCTGTTGGTGTGAACAGCTGTTGGTCTGGATTCACACACCTTATCTGTACACACTTTTGTTTGCCCATCCGAGTGTCTGACACACACATGCGGAAACCCATCATCTGCTTAAGAGTCACCAAACCCAAAATTCCCCAAATCTCACCTACACATGGAAATCCCAGAGATAGATTGTTGGAATGGGGAGATAGATTGCTCCCTGGGGGGATGCCCCCTGTTTACCTAATTTCAGAAAGTTTTCGGCGCAGGTTGGCAAGAGCCAAGCCTTGGGGGGGAATGCAGAGTGTGCGTTGGGGTAACTGCTGGAGTCTAACCAGCTAAAACCACATAACTTGCTATTGATCTTGCTGTCTGGCAAGTTTTCCAGCTCGATTCGCCCTACCCATTAGGGCTTTGGCTGCAGGTTAATAGGAGCTGAGGGGGAGGATTCTCTGCCCCCAGTGCCATCAGCAGTGAGTGCCCTGGAATACTGCAGACCCACCGGCTCAGGAACCCGACTGGAGACCAGCACAGAGGGCCGACTCCATCCGGGTACTCTGTGGCGAGGATGTCACCTCGGGGCCCACTCAGCTCGAAGAAGACCTGCTGGGAGGTACAGGCCTTAGGACACACACCCACAGACTGTAGTCACACACACCACTGTAAACACACACCCACAGACTGTAGTCACACACACAACACACACAGACTGTAGTCACCCACACACACAGACTGTACACACACACACACAGACTGTAGTCACGCACACACACAGACTGTACACACACACACACACACACAGACTGTAGTCACACACAACACACACAGACTGTAGTCACACACACACACTGTACACACACACACAGACTGTAGTCACACACACAACACACACAGACTGTAGTCACCCACACACACAGACTGTACACACACACACACAGACTGTAGTCACACACAACACACACAGACTGTAGTCACACACACACACTGTACACACACACACAGACTGTAGTCACACACACAACACACACAGACTGTAGTCACACACACACACACTGTACACACACACACACACACACAGGCTGTACGCACACACACACAGACTGTAGTCACGCACACACACAGACTGTACACACACACACACACACAGACTGTAGTCACACACAACACACACAGACTGTAGTCACGCACACACACAGACTGTACACACACACACACACACACACTGTACACACACACACACACACACAGACTGTACACACACACACACAGACTGTAGTCACGCACACACACAGACTGTACACACACACACACACACACAGACTGTAGTCACACACAACACACACAGACTGTAGTCACACACACACACTGTACACACACACACAGACTGTAGTCACACACACAACACACACAGACTGTAGTCACACACACACACACTGTACGCACACACACACACACACACACACAGACTGTACACACACACACACTGCTCCCTCCTCTCCTCTGGATTAAGCTCCGGGAGCGCCTCCGCGCGGGGAGCAAGTGATCAGCTCCCTTCACCGGGAGGGTGGGCCCGGACCCCCGGTCCCCCCGGACCCCCCCGGTCCCCCCGGTCCCCCCCCCGGACCCCCCCGGACCCCCGGTCCTGGTCCCGGTTATCTGACGGAGGTGGAGATGGAGGAAGCCGCGGGGCGGAGTGAGCAGCGGCGCCCGGACCCGGGACAGTATCTCTCCGACACGGACCGCGACATCATCCGACAAACCTGGAGCCGCGTCTTCAGCTGCTGTGAGGATGTGGGAGTCCGAGTCCTCATCAGGTACAGGCGGCCCGGGGGCCGGACAGGCGGCCCGGGGGCCGGACAGGCGGCCCGGGGGCCGGACAGTCGGCCCAGGAGCCGCCAATGGCGGGGAGGGAGCGGCTCCAGGCGGCTCGGACTGAGGTGGGGATGAGAGGGAGGGTTTGGGTCCAGAGACATGTAAACAGCCACAGGGACCGATAGTATAACATCATCCTCTACCTGGAGCAGCCAGAGAGGGACAGTGAGTGTGACAGTGAGTGTGACAAGCAGTGTGACAGTGAGTGTGACAAGCAGTGTGACAGTGAGTGTGACAAGCAGTGTGACAAGCAGTGTGACAGTGAGTGTGACAGTGAGTGTGTCAGTGAGTGTGACAGGCTGTGTGACAGTGAGTGTGACAGGCAGTGTGACAGGCAGTGTGACAGTGAGTTTGACAGTGAGTGTGACAGTGAGTGTGTCAGTGAGTGTGACAGTGAGTGTGACAGGCTGTGTGACAGTGAGTGTGTCAGTGAGTGACAGGCAGTGTGACATGCAGCATGACACTGAGTGTGACAGGCAGTGTGACAGTGAGTGTGACAGGCAGCATGACACTGAGTGTGACAGGCAGTGTGACAGTGAGTGTGACAGGCAGTGTGACAGGCAGTGTGACATGCAGCATGACACTGAGTGTGACAGGCTGTGAGTGTGACAGTGAGTGTGACAGTGAGTGTGACAGGCTGTGAGTGTGACAGTGAGTTTGACAGTGAGTGTGACAGGCAGTGTGACAGTGAGTGTGACAGTGAGTGTGACAGTGAGTGTGACAGGCAGTGTGTCAGTGAGTGTGTCAGTGAGTGTGACAGGCAGTGTGACTGCAGCGAGACAGTGAGTATGACAGTGAGTGTGACAGGCAGTGTGTCAGTGAGTGTGATAGGCAGTGTGACAGTGAGTTTGACAGTGAGTGTGACAGGCAGCGTGACACTGAGTGTGACAGGTAGTGTGGCAGCGAGTGAGGATAATATTGATTGTAAATGGAGCTCCAGCCCGCAGTCCCTCCGTCTTGCCCCCTCCCTGTGGAGCTCCAGCCCGCAGTCCCTCCGTCTTGCCCCCTCCCTGTGGAGCTCCAGCCCGCAGTCCCTCCGTCTTGCCCCTCCCTATGGAGCTCCAGCCCGCAGTCCCTCCGTCTTGCCCCCTCCCTGTGGAGCTCCAGCCCGCAGTCCCTCCGTCTTGCCCCCTCCCTGTGGAGCTCCAGCCCGCAGTCCCTCCGTCTTGCCCCCTCCCTGTGGAGCTCCAGCCCGCAGTCCCTCCGTCTTGCCCCCTCCCTCGCCTCCTTCAAGACCCATCTCAAGATCCTCCTCTTCGACTGTGCTTTCGATGGCCCTATTTCCCGCACTGCCCTCCCCCACTCCGATCCCCAGCTCAGGTCCGAAATTCTGTCCAGCGCCTCCCGACGTGAAGGACGCTTTACACCAGGTCATTTTGTCGTCGTCGTTCAAATCTCTTCACAGTTTCACCCTATCCAACCTCCATGACCTCCTTCAACCCCAACTGACCCGGCACTCCCTCCACTCAGCAAACATGAGGCTGTTTCATGTCCCTTCCCTGTCCACTGCACCATCTGTGGGCCGCTTTCAGCCAATCCAGCCCTGCATCCCAGTGTCCCTCCAACTTACCTCCTACTTCACCTCAGCCAAGGTCTATCTCAAGATGCCCGTCTTTGCTTGTGCTTTTAGTCATCTTTCCCCTCCCCCACTGCCCTTGGGCTTCTACCCGGTTGGTGGGGAGGGTTAGCCAGCAGTGCTAAGCACTTTGAGACGTCCTCCCAACGTGAAAGTAAATGTGAACTGTATTGTAACTATGCACACGTGTTGATGTCAGAGGTTGGGTGATGCTTGTCTCTGGGACCCAGTTGCTGTGTGGGGGATGAAGGCCTCCTGTGTTCAGGGTGTGTAAGTCCCCAACCTCATCGTTTCTCTGCTTCTCAGATTTTTCAGCAAGTTCCCCTCAGCCAAACAATACTTCAGCCAGTTTCGGCATCTGCAGGAGCCACAAGAAATGCAGCACAGCAGCCAGCTCCGGCAGCATGCTCGCAGGGTCATGGGCGCCATTAACAGTGTGGTGGAGAAGCTGGGCGATCCCGAGCAGGTACGCTCTGTCCTGGCGTTGGTGGGCCGAGCCCACGCCATCAAGCACAAAGTGGATCCTATGTATTTCCAGGTGAGGAAACTCGAGACCCTCATCTTCAAAATCATGAGCCTTGGCACTTGTGACAGCGCAGGTACCAGCGTTGGTCCACACTTATTGATCCTCACACATGATTGGGTGTAACTATCTTACCATTGTTAACGAAATAGCCAGTCATGTTGGTGACATGAGGTGATATAGAAGAATAACAACAACAAAATGCATTTATATAGCACCTTTCATGTCAGGAGGATGTCCAATGGCACTGGGCAGCCAATAGTTTGCACCTGAGTTGGTGGTTGAATTCAAGAGTGGGTGGGGGCAGGTGGGATGAGGGAAGGAAGATGACTGAAGGCACAGTCAAAGAGGAAAGTCTTGAGAACGATCTTAAAGGAAGCAACAGAAACAGTGAGGCAGAGGGGCTCCAGGATGGAGTTCCAGAAGGTGGTGGTAGAAAGGCTGAAGGCTCGACCAGTGATTGTAGGGAGGACAAGCGAGGACATGGAGCACACAGAGTTGGCACGTGATGGAAGCGTCTCAGCTTAGGGGAGAGGTAGTGCTGAATGTGGGCAATATTGCGAACAATGTGGGATTTTAAAAAACAGAATATGAGAGTTGAAGAAGACACGAGACAATGGGAAAGGTAAGAATGAAAACAGGCGACAACAGAACCATGATTGGTAGAGCTAAGAGGAGAGGTGATGGAAACAATAAAGTGGTCAACAGTGTCGAAAGCGGCAGAGCAATTGTGAAGGAAAAGGAAGCAGAGACAGCCCTGGTCACAGATGGACAAAATGTCATTGACTAGAGCAGTCTCTACTATAAGCAGCCCAAGAAACCAGAATGGAGGGCCTCATGTAGGGAGTACCTGGAGAGGAAACAGCACAGCTGAGAAGCAATAACTCGTTACAGAACCTTCGAAAAAAAAGGGAAGTTGGCAATGGGATGATAGGGAACAGAGATGGGTCGAGGGAAGGCTTTTTGAGGGTAGGGGTGTTGACAGCTGTTTTTAAGGAGTGGAAACTGTGCTGGTGGATAGAGAGTGGTTGATAATGTCGGTTGTTGTCAATAATTGGATTAAAAATTCACTCCAGTCCTGGAGTCCAGCTCACCAGTTTGTGCCAGGAGGTGAGTGAATCCCACACAACCATTCCAGCTCCATATAGAAGATATGGCCATATTTCTGAATGTACCTGCAGGTGGGTTAGCAAGTGACACATTCCTTACCAGACACATCAAATTCTAACTTTCATTTGACTTCCTTTTTCTGCTCTTGACTACAGTGTTGTGATTTTTTTTATTCTCAAGCCTATCTTTGTTTCCCCTTTTATCTAATTCTTCCTCCCTAGTTATTAAGCGGCGTTATTCTGGAGGTCTTTGTGGAAGATTACGCGGAATACTTCACCACTGAAGCTCAGAGCGCTTGGAGTCAGTTAATGGCTCTGATTTGCGTGCAGGTGTTAGCGGCTTACACAGAGCTGGGCTGGGCACAGAACTCGTCTGTCTGAGCTGAAGGATGTGATCCTCAGATCCACCAAAGAAGACATTAGGCAGCACTCCATAACACTTTCGGGAAAGGAGACCTGGGACACAAATCTGTGGACGCGCATAAATGTCACCAGAGATGCTCTGAGCCGAAACTGTGATCGTGTGATGGAATCAGAGACACAAATGTGACTGATTTGTTATTTGTTTCTACGAATCAGTATTTATTCTATAGTATATTACAGTGTTTGCTAAAATATACCACTACATGATGTCAGTATTGAATACTGAACTATAATCATTATAATTTAACACATTTATAAGTTATTAAATCCTATTTTCATCCGATGCTCCTCTCTGCCAATCACATCCCAACCTGGGCAGAGGTGCGGAGTGAAATGGTGCATTCCAGTTAGAATGAGTCTCTTGACATTCAGTGTGTTTGTTTGTGTGTGCGAGACATTCAGTGAGTGAATGAGCCTCACAATAGCTGTGATCAATTCCCCCCCACTTGGTGCTTGATGTTTCTAATGTGAGTAAACCTCATATGTTTTTTATAAAACAGAACATTTAATGCTCTTGATTGAACTTCAAGGCGACAAATCCCTTTTAATAATATTTCTGTAAAACTGTTAAATCAAACTAAAATACTCCCAGCCTTGCTGGTGTTTTGATTTGTTCCAGTTTCTAATTGTGTTTTTTGCTCATGGTAAAGGCCCAGAGATGCCAACCTACAGGACCTCAATAAATTTTTCCAACATGTTTTTCATCTCTTACTTGCACTCCTCTGAACACCTGAAACATCCAAATCCTGTTATTTAAATATCTCTTTTAAATATTCCGCAAGTTTAACCGGAAATCTTTGTCGAAATTGCAACAGAAACCTTCTGAGGACATTCCTGTCATGTGTGCTACAGCTTGAGCAAATGTTTCAATATACTTCTTAAACATGCTTCATCAATACTTCACTCCATACCCATTTATGTATGCACAGACAGACACTCCCATATATATTTATAAACACATGTATACACACATCTAATATGTACACACATCTACACATACACAAATGTTCACATATATATATAAGCACAAGTACCACATGTGAACACAAAAAATATGCACATATACACACACAAACACATTTTTTTTTGTTTTTCTGTTCTGGATGTTGAGGGTGAATTCTGCACATGGGTGTTTCTGATCCATCTCCAAACTCTTCAGTTTGTTGTTTTCTTTAGAAAATGTTTTAAACTTGGTGCCTTGATGAGAAAGTGTTTGATGATTCTTTACAAGAAGAACAGTCAACAACAACAATTTGTATTTACATAATTACATAAAAAATGCTAGATTAAAAAAGACCAAGGCCATTCTAGTTCACCTTCCACCTTCCTATTCAGAGGTTCACTATTCACTTACTGAAATAGTGTTTGAGTAGATTCATTCATTCTGAATTTAACCTTTTCAATCGCAGGCCGTGGCCTCTGGGTTTACTATTCAGGACAAGTTGAAACAGCCCGTCATGATCTATATTGTTTGGTCCCTTTAGAATCTTAAAGACAGCAATCATGTCGCCTCTCAATCTTCTCTTTTTCAGCGTGAACATGCCAAATTTGCTCCTCATAGTCCAGTCCCTCCATTCCCTCAATTATTTTAGTTGCCCTCCTCTGTATCTTCTCGATTTCTCCAATGTCCTTTTTGTACTGCGGCGACCAGAACTGTGCACAGTCTCTAAGTACAGTGTTATCGATGGTTTATACAGTGGCAGGAATACCCCACTATTTTGGCTGCAATTGATCTTTTGATATATCCCAACATTTGGTTTGTTTTACTCACTGCCACAGCATTGTTGGGAGAGTTTCAGTTTATTGTTAATCAGGAACCGCAGGTCTTTTCATTTTCCACATATATTATTTTCCTTCCGTTGAAATAATTGTCCCTTCTAGGATTTTTTATCCCACGGGAAGAATTTTACATTTCTCCACATTGAATTTCATCTGCCACCGATCTGCCCAATTCCCAAGTATAGCGCCCCTCACCAGAGTAGTGTCCCAGTGCCAGCAGAGCATGTGGGTGATACCGGTTCCTTGTGTAGAAAAAAGTAATGTTGAAGGGCTTGGGCAAAGAGCAGGGCAATGGCATTAGAACAGAAAGCTCCAAGAGGGAGTCAGCATGGCACAGTCCATGAGTCTTCTCTTCTGCTGGATTCTATGTTGCTTGGATACTATGAGACAACTCCACCCTTGGCACTTTCTCACCAGACACCTTTAATTGTCTTTCTAAATGTGATTTGTGGGGGCTTTGTTCTCAAATAAACTTCACCCGTGAATTTGTGGAATCTGACATTTTGGTCTGAATATTTACATATCTATACAAAATTATACTGCTCTTGCACACACTTGAACCCGTGTTTACAACAGTCAGTTTTTTGATGGACAGAGGTGGACAGACAGAGGCGGATGGCTCAGTGATAGAGATGGCGGTAGTCGCTCAGGGTTGGAATCCTGGTTAAGCCTTTTTTTGTCTTTGAATCCTGTAAAAGCCCACCAGCTTTCTCTCCCCTGGCACTACCCAGATCAGATTACACCCAACAATATAAATACCAGATTAAGGCTTCAAAGAGTTGAAGTTAAAAAAATCTATTAAATTTCAAATTTTCTTTTGTCTTGAAAAGTACAATAAAGTACAATTGACAATTATTGCTGGAATTTGCCTCGTAATCAGGACAACTAGGTCACTGTTCTGAATGAGTCAGCCTGTAATATCAGTGTCATCCTTGACCAGTTGGTTAAGGTTAAGCATCTGCTTCTGAGAATTTAGTGAGATTTCTGGTCACAGCTAGTGAGAGATATGTAATAAAGTGTTTCCTCAAACCTGGTTGAAAGCATTTAAACAACACAAAATGGTAAAGTTGGCTTTGCAGCAATGAGACAATAAAAAGGCGAGAACGCCTGCCTGGTAGAATGGGATCACTATGCCCGCACGTTACTGAAAAGCCCAGCAGTGTTTGTGGCAGCGAAGGATACCCAACCCCACACGAGAATGTGGTTGATTCTGATGGGTATTATGTTTCAGCAGTGTAACCTGATTGAGTAAAATGGGGGTTACCTAAATACCAAGACATTCAAACCTAGTATAGTAGTATAAACGCACAGTTCAGTTCCTGCACCTACTGGATCCATGGGCACTATGTGTCGATCACTCTGCTCTCCCACCATATAAACCACGGCAGTGATGTCAGCAGCCAGAGAGCCAGCACACTCCACAGCCAAATGGCTTTCAGCAGCACTAACATGTGCTGGCCAGAACACCCAACAATATATTGGTTCACAATAAAAAGCATTTGCACCAAATCTGTGTTTCTTGTGCTTTGTTCTACTAGCAGCGGAGGTAATGCACTGGGAGTGACAGTGTTTCACTGTGGCTGGTCACTCTGGGGGTGACAGCGTTTCACTGTGGCTGGTCACTCTGGGGGTGACAGCGTTTCACTGTGGCTGGTCACTCTGGGGGTGACAGCGTTTCACTGTGGCTGGTCACTCTGGGGGTTACAGCGTTTCACTGTGGCTGGTCACTCTGCGGGTGACAGCGTTTCACTGTGGCTGGTCACTCTGCGGGTGACAGCGTTTCACTGTGGCTGATCACTCTGCGGGTGACAGCGTTTCACTGTGGCTGGTCACTCTGCGGGTGACAGCGTTTCACGTTGGCTGGTCACTCTGCGGGTGACAGCGTTTCACTGTGGCTGGTCACTCTGGGAGTGACAGCAGTGACAAATGTGCACGGACAACTTGTGAAAGCAGCTCTGCAGTACAAACAAGGCACAAGACAATTTACTGACAAGAGAGCAACGGATATTTGTAACGTAATTTCAAAAACATTTCAAATGTGCAATAAAGATTTTTGCATTGTACACCAGTAATCTTAACCCACCTGAATGTAGGAAATAAACAGACATCACTCACCTAGTACCACTTGGGGTCTCTTTCCCACCCCCCAATCTCCTGTAGCCTTTGGAATCATATTACTTATTGAAGCATTGAAGTATATTGTACCAAACCAATTACTGCCCTGGCTGAAATCAGTTAACTTAACAGAACAAACTGATGTTCCACTGCACAAACTTGGTGTCAGGGACATGACTGATGTCTGCCTAGGTCTTGTAGGCAAAGCGGGTTTAGAATGGACCTGATTTTGTTTCAGCCTACAAGTAAAATTGCCAGGTACAGAGACATTCTGTGGAAATGCTTAGTTTATTCTTGCTGCCCACTAGCCCGGCTTCTAGTGCCCTCTGGTCTCTTCCATTCTTCAAGGCTTAGCTGATTTGAAGATCAGGGTAATTCAAACAACCCAATCTCAGCAATTACAATCAAATGCAACTGGCATATTTCTTACATGGCAGCTCCAGTCCAGTGTGTATAGTTGTGTTTTTCACTGCTGGAGGTGAGTGACGACCATCTACCATGTCGTATTCTGCATACTGGGCCTCCCCATGTATCACAGCTAGTCCCAGCCTCAGCCTCTCTGCGTAGGACTGTGCCCTAAAATGGAAAAAAAAATTGTCGAGGTGAAAACAATTCTTATGTGAACTTCAAGCTGAAAACAGCTTAAAGCGTGTCAGTCAGTCACACTCTTGCTTCTGGTTTAGGAAGCTGTGGGTTCAAACCCCATACTGGGTATTACGCTCACAGTGATACTGGGGCGCGCTGCTGCATTGTTGGAGATGCCGACCTTTGGATGTCTGAGGGGCCTGTCTCCCTGATCAGGTTAACGTTAAAGATCCCAGGGTACTACTTGAAAAGAGAAGGGAGTTTCCATAAATCTCCAAATAAAATTGGTTATTTATTTCACAGCTGTTTGTGGGGCATTGCCGTGTGGAAATTGGCTGCCACGTTGGCCTTTATATTTGATAGCAATTTGAGACATTTTGATGGAAGAATTACTGGCTCAAAGGATTCTTAAATTCACCAATGATTACAAAAGACTCAAATATTGCGTGTGAAGCTGCTGTTGAGCAGTGTGTGAAGCACACGGCAATAAACAGGCTTGATTACTTCTGGAACTTTCAA